TATATCCATCTCCAGACAGCGGTTCAGGAAATCTCTGGAGATAGCTGACAGCTTCTCTGGGATTTGAAGCTCTGGGGTCTCATTGTGGCAATGAGTTACAAGATTTTTAGAGGGTTTCATTGAGGTATGGGGCTCCCCTTTGATCATTTCGATGGCCATGATGCCCAGGGACCAGATGTCAAACTTGGGCCCATAGACCTTTTGCGTTACAATCTCATTATCATCCAGTACGGGGTTTCCACAGTGGTGCTCAGTTTGCTCTGCTCTGGGGTGATCTGAGCACAGAATCCAAAATCAGTTAGCCTGACAGAGCCATCTATTTGCAACAGGATGTTGTCACTCTTGATGTCTCTGAGAATGACCTGGTTGAAATGCAGAAACTTCAAAGCCTGTGGGCGCTCACGGCACACAGCTGCAATCTGGCCTTCATCCATGCAGGTTTCTGCCACCACATCTGTCAAAGAGCCTCCAGCTAAGGATGCCAGGATAACCTACAGCTCATCATCTCCCACGAGGTGACTGTCCAAGTAGTTTGCAATATTTAGGTTCTTATTTTTCCCTCGTGACCAGAATCTCATTAATAATCAGCTGTTTCTTCAGCTGCCACTGAAGTTTCATCTGCTTACTGGCCACCTCCTATCCTGTGGCCACATCCATTGCAGTGTACACAGTGCCTGAAGCACCTTGTCTTCTCAAATCATGTATAGTTTGTCTCGGGATTGTCCACACTCCCTATTCTCCAGAATTTCTCCAAGATCTCTTCATCTGACACTTTCTGCTTCTGCTTCTCAGTGCTAGGGTGATATTATTCTCAGTAGGTGAAATGGGAGATGTAGTCATATCCTAAGTTGGAGTAATGGAAGTGGTCACATCACAGACCATGTGCATAGAGATTTTGTGTGCTCTGGGTGTGAGGCAGCCTCTGGAGCTGGGCATCATCATCATCTTCTTCTTCATCTTCTGAAACTGGTGACACTTGCAGGGTCTCAGACACTGTCTTCCATTCATTCAGTGCTAGAAGAATTATAATCCTCAGCTAATTTATATGTAAAGCTCATGTACTTCTGGCCATTGAAGGTCTGCATTGAGTTTCAGAAAGTTATAGACTTCAAATATATGGTGCTAAAAGGAGAACTGACTCTGGGTGGTGAACATGCAATGTGATACATAGATGATGTATTACAGAATTGTACACTTGAAACCTGTGTAACTTTACTATTGTCACCCAATAAACTCTAATAATAATAAAAAAAGTAATAGACTTCCAATACACCCAAGAGAGCTTATGGGCTTTCTAGCTTAGTAACAGTTGATGTCTGAAGCAAGCAGGCCCACTGCTCTGTGATAGCATCAGAACCAACAAGAATTGTGTGTTCAAAATCTGAAGGAAGAGAATTCTGTGGGCTTTCCTTCTGTTTTTTATTTGTTTTATCTCCAGGTAAGATGGATCAGTGAAATCAGTCCTTTCTCTTCTCTGGATTTGGAGTTAGAGGTTTGGAACCAGGATTTAGGGTTCCAGCATGCTGGTCCTTGTAACTGGAGAGGCTGGGGGTTTATCTTGAATGTCTAGACCATTACTTGACATTGTCACTACCACCAGCAGCTACTTCTGCACTCGCTGGCTCGACTCAACTCCTGTGTCATTGCTTCTGACCCTCCTACCTGAGTCATCTGCAAAGGGCATCCTGGAGGTGCCACAAGCCAAAGTGACTGACCTGTGGCCCAAATCACTGCCCCCATATCCCTATTACTAAGGGCTGGCACTTCCATCACATTTTGAAGCAGAAAATTTGGTGGCTTGACTACCAAAAAGGTACTTATGAATGGGAAGATACCGTTTCTTATATAAATATAGGTAAAAGACAGAAAATATGAATGCCTGACTAAGACATCATTTTAGGTAAGAGGTTTTTAACCTAAAAATAAAAGGCCAAAGTGAGAGGCAACAAACATTTATTTGAGATCCAAAACAGTAGCTCCTCAGGAAGCACTGACTCAGGCAGAAATCCAAATACTGTTTTGATTAGGGGGTGAAGGCAATGGATATTTATGAGAAATGGAAGGGAAACAGTTACATCAATAGAAGGAAGGACTTCCTGTAAGCGCAGATAAGCTAATGCAGTGATGTTAATTCTAAAAGATGTTTTCAATTTTCAGTCCAGTAGTCATCAGTCCAGTAGTCATAATACCTGCCATAAACCAAAATTAATTTTAGACTGTAGTAAAGAATAAAAAGCATTTATTTGAGCCAAAAGAGTACAACCCTGGAGACACAGATTGAGGCGGCAACCTAAATTGTGCTTCACTAAGACAAAGGAGAGGCCACCTTTGACAGAGAAACTCTCAACCCATAGTCCCCATTTTGGTCCATTTCATGCAAATAAGGTTTCCAAATTGTGAAGATCTTATTGGTCAGGGCAGGTCACAGTCCATTGGCTGGATGGTAGCATGGCCTCAGAAAGAGAAGCTTTCCTGCAGTGGTCCACTCAGATGCTGTAAACAGGCAGGATGGTGCAGGAAGTTAGAAGTTCAGTCAAGGTGCATGTTTGTGAGAGACCCCTATCAGTAAAGGTTCCTAGGCTGTAGTTTAAATATAGGTCCATTCAATCACAGGAAGTCTATCTGGACGAGTATATTTCTTCTGGGGGTTCACACTCCTTCTTTTTATCCTTGTAAACAGTTGTATGGGATATAATGCTGCTTTAAGCCCAGTCCAAAGGTTATTTTGCCCTGTTTTAACATTCCAAAGGTTTGAGCTACAAGACATGAGAGGGAGTTCCTCTGTGATGACAGCTCGAGTCCATTTTAAAGTGGGGCCGTTTATATTATTTTTATAAGGGGAAGTGTTAATTCACAAACTATTGATAAAAACTTCTGTGTCAAACTCTTCTACAGTGTTGGACAAAATGGGTGCTTGCCCTGCCTTCATAGAGCAGACCGCCAAGTGGGTGGACATTTAAATGAATCCATCAGTAGCACAGAGCACTATGAGGGCTGAGTAGGATGGCTGGGAGTTATGGGAACACATGGTTGGGTGCCCAACCCAGGCAGAAAGTCTGGTAAACATTCCTGAAGAAAGGTATATAAGTTGAGACACAAAACAACAAACATAAACAGGTGACTGTATACTATTTTCTTGTTTGTATAAGGAACAGAGTGAAAATAGACCAGAATTACATTCTTGAGATGGGAGGAAAGCTTACTGCTGAGAGGGGAGAAAGAAACATGAAAATTCCCCTTAGTTAGATCTCAGCTGTGTTTATGGCAAGGGTGATAGATAACAGACCTTCAGAACTCTGGTCTACCTTTCCTCTTTCCCACCTTCCTTCTCTCTCTGTCTCTTCCTTCTTTCCTCTCTCCTTCTTTCCTTCACTCTTTTTACTTCCCTCCCTCCTTCCCTTTCTTCCTTTCTTTTATCATGCAACAAGAAAAAAAAAAACAGTTCTGAGTCAAAGTATCCAAAAAATAGTTTGGTTTTATTTTGTTTTTTCCAATTAACTCCAGGCAGCTCCCTGGCCAAAATACTCTCTGTCTTCTTGAGCAAACAGAGCACTATCAAGTTCGCTGAAAGGAACCTCCCCACCCCTGGTGTAGGCCCTCCTTACTTCTTCTCCCACATCCAAACCAGCTTCTGTCCAGTTGCCAGGTCATCCTCTGACTCAGGGCTTCCGTTGTTTTTACAATAAACATTCATAGTGCACTTTTGATTAAAGTGCCAGGAATCTGGTAGGTTCTGGAAAGGAGAAGAATTAACAGTGTTCCAGCCTTCAAGATTCTGTTGCCCCACTGATCATAAACAATGGCTTGGATTCAAGTACCAAGGAAATATGGCTCCAACCCTTACATCTTTAGTCCCAATTGCTTCTCTGTCTGCCCCTTCTGGGACCTTTTTCTCTCTCTCTTTTTTTAAAATTAAAGTTTATTTGGGTACCAATGGTTAGTAAAGTTACATAGGTTTCAGGTGTACAATTCTGTAATACATCATCTATATATCATGTTGTATGTTCACCAACCAGAGTCAGCTCTCCTTCCATTACCATATAGTTGATCCTGTTTACCCTCATCTACCACCCCCTCCACCTTACACTCTGGTAACCACTAAACTATTGCCTGTGTCTATGAATTTTTGTTTCTTTGTTCATCTTGTTCCTTTGTTGTTTTCAGTTTTATATCCAACATATCAGAGAAATCATATGGTTCTCAACTTTTTTTTTTAAGATTTTATTGGGGAATTGGGGGAGGGGAACAGTGTTGGGGAATCGGGGAAGGGGAACAGACAGGTAAACAAATTGCTGTTTCGTTCTTCAGTCTAGTTGTCGAGGACGTCGCTTCACTGGCCCATGTTGGTATGATCATTGTGCTCTTCCCGGGTGAGGCAATCGGTCGCCAGTCATTGGTCGGCCGCTCACAGTGGCTTCCAGCAGCTCACACCGGCTGCCAACCACTCGCATAGCTCATGCATGGCAGCTCACTGCAGTCCTGCTGCAGCCTACGCCGTCGCAGGCGACTCACAGCAGCCCAGCTCCAGGTGGAGCTGTTGTTCATCGTCTTAGCTGTAGAGGGCGAGCGTCACTGGCCCTCAATATGGGATCCAAACCGCAGCCCTGCTGCTCAGAGCTGGTGCTCCCAAGCGAGCTCTTAACCAACTGAGCCACTCGGCCGGCCCCTCTTGCTAATTTTAAAAGGCTTTTTTGCTTTTTTGTCAAACTTCTGGACTACTATCCATTGAAGTATATAGCATTGATGTGGACCAGTTTAGTCAATAAAGCAATTGAATCAGCAGGCAATAACTCTATAATTTTTTCTTTAAAAAAAAAAGAAATAGAATAGGTGTAAGTAATACTTAAAAACACGTGCTGTGATAACACACATAATGAATATATATGAACTGAGGATCAACTTTTCAAACTATGCTATAGTCATTATGCCTATAAGTCAAAATAATATAAATTTGCTCTTACCATCAGTCAGTAATTCCTGAGTTTTCACTGGGTGTTTTTAACAATATGGAGTTCAGAGAGTTCAGGCTGCCTATTGTCTCTGCAAGAAGGCAAATTATAATTCTTTTAAAAAGTAGTTACAGGCCGGCCAAATGGCTCAGTTGGTTAAGAGCTTGCTCAAGAGTGATAAGTTGAAAGACAACCTGGGTGATGTAAAACTGACATCATTCGAGCACAGGTATTAAAGGCCAGATGTCAAAGGACTCCACACCTTTGTATCCCCAGGGCCTGATGCAGTGTTTGGCACATACTTGGTGATGAGTGAATGTTGCAAAAAAAGATAAAATAAAAACATGCAATAAAGAAATTCCCTACAGCTCCAAGCGCCAGAAAAATAATAATATAGTCTAATAGCTAGTAGCTTTTATTATAATCAAAACAGTCAGGCTAAGGCAAGTATGTGACAAGATTTGAGGTACAAGGCAGGGCACAGAGTAACTGGAATGAAATGCCTAAGGAATAGGAAGTGCACATGTAAACACACAGTGGAAAGGTTGCAAATTTAATTGTCTAACCTTTAATTGTCTAATATCTAGGGCCATATAGGAAAACTTCGCATGCCCTCCTATGGGGTTTGGACAGTATCTTAGATACAACAGGGAATCGTTGGGGTATTTGTCCCACGATCTTGATTTAAGTGGCATAAATGAGAGGTCAGTATGGGGACAGCTGTGTGCGGAGAAGCATGGCAAATCATTCAGCCAGATGCGGAACCTGCCCTCACCTTTGCACTTGGCTTTGATCAAGCTGTAGAGTGAGATCTGGGGACACAGAAAGAGGGAACGGCTCAAAGACACAGTAAGTGCACCCCGTTATGGAGAGCAAAATCTGCCACAGAATAGAATGCAGTCAGCTTTGTTGTGCCTAATGAAGAAAAGAAAGGGGTGGTCCGCACAGAACCTCGGCCCATCAACAAAGCAACATTCCACCACCACAGTGGCCGAGGCGGCCGCGGCCTCCGTGCCTTCCTCGTTGACCTCCACAAAAGCCTTGTGCACAAACTTGGACAGACACAGGTCTCTCTTGGCGGACATTGCTGAAAAGTCAGCCTTGCCCTCTTGAAAGGCATCAATTATTCCCAAACATTGGAGCACAGATCCCATGTCATAATCCTCTTCCAGTTTAAATCTTGGAAGGAGAACTTCAACTTCAGTATGCTTCATACAGTCTGGCTTGGTCCACGCTATGAATTTCTCAAAAGTGAGATTTTTTTCCACCTGAAAGACCAGAGTTAGACTTTAAGGTTCATGCTTCAGCCTGCATAAATATGCACACAGACATGCTCTAATACCCTTTGTTCTCTTATAGATGGGTGTTGATGGTCACACAGGACCAGTGGCACCTGTGAGATCTTGCATTTGTGATGTTACACACACAGCCTCCTAGCCAAGCAGCGGAGACCTCAGACCGCCTAGAGGCACAAAGGCCTTGGCGGCTCCTCTCCTGACCCAACAACTTCTGAGAGAAGTTCTCTTACCCTGACGTTGTCAATGCCCAGCTGACTCTGCTTTTTTTCCTTTTTCCTATTCTTGTTTTGAAGACAACAAGACATTGCTGCTAGGAAAAAAGATTGGAAAATAAAGCATTCCCAGTATAGCGCCCTGAAGGGAAAGCTGCCCAGAGCAGGATCCAGCATGCTTTCTGGAGAAGAGATGTCACAGGGAGATGGACAGAGGGAGAGCCAATGCTCCACTCACACGGCCGCTTGGGACATGGGAGCGCTGCCTGCACCTCCACCCGGGTGGGGGTGCCTAGAACCTCCGGGGCAATGGCTGATGCCCCTCACCCTAAGAGCCCATGCTGAAAGAAAACAAGGTGGGTGGCGAGTGCCATTTGGGGCTGTTCCCGGCTCGGTGCCCTGAGTGCTGGCTCCCACCCTCACCCCCTTCCCCCTTTCCCCCTTGTTAAATCAACGTGTAAGATTTTCTCATTCACTGTTTCAGGGTCTGAATAGAGACAAAGGTTCTTACTTTAAAAAATAGAATGCTACTAACAATGACTACGACAATAATAATGGATCACATTTACACAGGGCTTATATGTACCAGATAATGTGCTAAGCTTGTTCCCTGAATCACTTCCATTTTGTCCTCCTTAAAACCCTACCAGTGAGATAGCATCATTATCCCCAGTTTAGACATGAGAAAACAGAAGCCAAGGTGCGGTAAGGAACTTGGTGAGGTCACGTAGGTCATAATGGGAGAAGTGGTACTGAGTGACAGTTTGAGCCAGCGCCCACGAGCTGAGAACTGAGCTCTACAGCCTGGCCTCCTACATCCCCAGCTTGAAAGGCAAACACAACAGGTGAAAGTGGTGCTTGAGTCTATCCCTTAAGGAAGGATATGAAGAGAGTCACTGGGCCCATCTCACCGAGCTCAGGTCCACACCATCGTCAGGGAGCACAATGAGCATGCTCAGCTCCTTGCCCGCATAGGGCAGCTCCAGGAC